CTCGAGCAGGTGGCCATTGAACTCGTGGACGCCCAGACACCTCGTCGTATCGCCGAGTATGAGGTGGAGCTCCGTACTATCGAAGTCCGAATTTATGAGGTGCTCAGATAATTGGATTTCCACATGGCTACAGCCACCCCCGGGCCCGTTACAACAGTCCCGCCTACAACTACGTTACCGTCAACGGGCACCTGTACCTTTATTTCAACAACTACTAAAGCTTAATTAAGCGTGTTAATTTTGTTATAAAATAAATTGTTATGTTTATTAATTGATTAATTGAGTAATTAAAATGTCATACTGTATCTATGTGATTTTGTATTATTAGTTATTTATTGAATAAAACATCAAATAATTATAATTTTTGATTAATATTTATAACAAATTTATAAACTGTATATTTTAAAAATTATTTTAACTTTGAGTTATGAGTAATTGTAAATAATTTTATCGAGCTTAAAAATATTAAACTCACAAAATTTAAATGAAATAAATTATTTATTATCTAATCGTAATAACATAATTAATTAAATCTCATATGAAATTTAAAATAAAATGTCATTAATTGAGTAATTCATAAAAAATACTTTTATTGATGCCGGTAAGTTTAGCCTTTTGTAAATAATGTACTTTCTATTTTATTTATTTCATGTTTACAGGTTTTCATACAAGCCAGGTCATTTAAATTGACCTATGATACCATACAGCGAGATACGGTTAAAATAGCTCTGGAGTTGGTAGCTGAGAACCTTGAGCAAAAATTAAACCATGCTATTGTAAACGCAACTGGACACAAGCATGGCAAAGTGAAAATAACTGAACTAGATATATTATCTGATGAACTTGATAAAATTGATGTTCAAAGTAATTTGACATTTGAACTACGAGAATCGCACCTAGATCGTATTTATGATCAGTTTGCTAAAGATATTATACCAGGTAAATACTATTCTAAGTTTATTATATTTTTTATATATTTAAATTTATTATAATAATTTAATATTTGAATTAGCATTGTGTTAGGTTTATTGAAAGATATTAACCAAGTTTATTTAACTATATTCTGATTTTTTAAATATGTCAATCACTTTTATCATAGCAATCAGATTAGGTTAATGCGATTAACGATAAAAATTAGAAATGATTTTGACATTCACTTAACATTATGTGCCTAATTATGGGAAGTAAAACATATGTCCAAGCTCACATTAGCTATTTATTAATAATCATTTAGATTTCACTTGAATTTATATTATTTTCGAAAATATTATTATAATAAGCAGTAATAAGCAAACAAAAAACATTTCATAATTATATTAAGTAAAGGCTTAAGTGATAATGTATCCTGTTGTTGTTGTTGTTTAAATAGCCATGTTTTTGACTGGTGATTTTTTCGGTACAATCACAAATTGATAAATTATTTTACTCAATTAAAATTCAAATTTTGAAATCAAATTTATTTTAAACTCAAAAGCACTAAAGTTTATATCACCTTAATATATCAACTAGATCCTATTGTAATCCTAGCGTTAATCCCTATCCATTAACGCCTACCTAATATCCTTATAGTCATCAAATAAATGACAAAGATTATTTTGATTTTATTTACTTAATACATATAAAACTTTTGTATTGTTAACTTTTGCAAACGTTTCTAAACAAGGTTAATCTAATCGCAGTTTTCAAGTAGAAATTGATTTTGTTGATAGTACCAGGGGTATAAATAAATAGGTAATAGACACTGTTCAAGCCAGACAGTAAATATTTAATTATTTTCTAGGTCTGCTAAATTTACATTAACAGTAAATATGAAAGGTTATATAGCATTTGCTATTTTAGCTGTGTGTATTTGCTGTAAGTATGATATTACCTCGTTTAATTTAGAAATTATTAACTTTAAACTAGTAGTTTATTTATTTATTTACATGGTTAATTTTTATATTTAAAATTATTTCTTTAAAAAATTGTATTTAAAAATTAAATATTAATAAATTAAAAGTAAAGTAACGTGTAGCTAGTTGCAATTTTCAAACCTTGTATTAATGAATGTGATAAAATTAGTAAACTAGTTTTTTAAGTATAATTTAAAACACTTTTAAAATATAATTCACAGCAACGGTAGCGCCCCCACCTACCACACAACCACCACCACCAACAACCACAAAGCCTCCCGTACCACCTATCACTACCCAAACCCCACTGGACAAGGACGCCCTACTGAAAAAAGCGGCCGAACTCGACAAACTGGCCAAGGATGAAATAGCCAAATTTGACAAACTGCAACGTCGGGCACTGGTATCCAACGTCGAGAGCCTGGACCAGACTCTGCTGGATTTGGCCGCCAAGATCAACACTACCTCCGGCGTACTGCCCCTCCAGGTGCTCGAGTCGCAGCTGTTTTGGATAGAGCGGGAGTTGGGACTGGAGATCGAGGCCATCGAAGCGGCCTATAATATGGTCGAAAAGCTGCTGAACAACGCCCAGCTATTAGACGCCCGGATCGATAAGGGTATCCAAAAGGTAGGCCCCGACACACCCGTGGGTAAGGCCCTCAAGGAGGAGAAAGAGTCGCTCGCAAAAGTGGTGAATCAGTTAAAGGCGGCCACGGATGCGAGAACCATAGCGGTGCTCGAGTTTGACCTGGCTCTCATCGAGGAGAGAGTTAATACTGAGGTTCCACCTAGATACTAATTGTGTGATTTTAATTATAATAAGTCAAATAAATAGTTGTTTTTATTTAATTGTATATGCATATTTTATTTAATCGTAATCATGAATATTTTATTACTAGAGGTTATTCGTATTTATGCCGGTTAATAATATAGTAGTATTATTTTAATACCGAACTTGGTTCTCGATACTAAAATATGTTTTTATAAAAT